GAAGAAACCAACAGGTGAACCATTGACTAAAATAGAGCATTTGACAGTACTAATGCAGAATTTGATCCAACTAATCCATCTTTCATCAAAGCCCATCTTCGAAAGTGTTCCCAGCAAAAACTCCCAGTTAAGGTGATCATATGCCTTTTCTATGTCCAGCTTGCACAGGATACCAGGTTCTTTGCTCTTCATTCTAGCATCTACACTCTCATTTGCAATGAGAATAGCATCCATTATTTGCCTACCTTTGATGAAGGCCATCTGTTGATTGTCCACCAACTTTCCCATTACTTTCTTGATTCTTTCTGTTAAGAGTTTTGAGATTATTTTGTAGACACTACCTATCAGACTGATAGGTCTGAAGTCTTTCAGTTCTTTAGCTCCAACTTTCTTAGGAATCAAAGCCACCAAAGTGGCATTAAAGCTTTTTTCAAAGACCCCAGTAATTTGAAAATTCTGGACAGCAGCTATCACATCTTGACTGATCACTTCCCAGCATTGAATGTAGAAAGCCATAGTATACCCATCTGGACCAGGAGCTTTGTCCCCTGCACATGCTTTGACATTCTCCCAGATTTCCTGAGGCTCAAAAGGGCTCAATAACATCTGATTATCCTCTGAGCTTATGGTTTGGCATTCCCTTAGGCTGCATTGTGGTCTCCACTCCTCAGCTTCTGTGTATAATTTTTGGTAGAAAGAAATTATCTCCCTCTTGATATCTTCAGGATTCTCCACAGTTTCCCCATTGACTTGTAGCTTGTCAATGTTGTTATATCTTTTATGGGCATTTGCAGTTCTGTGGAAGAACTTGGTATTTCTGTCACCTTCTTTCAACCATAAGGCCCTGGACCTTTGCCTCCATGCTATCTACTCCTTCCTTGCATTTTCCTCAAATTCTAGCAATAGAGAGGTTTTTTTGTATGTCTCTTCCTCATTCAAGCTCCTCAGTTCTTGTATATCCTCAATTTCAGCAAGTTGGTCCAATATATGCTGTTTCTGTATCTTCAGATTGCCTTGAATTGTCTTGCTCCATTCTTTAAGTTTTCCCTTCAAGGCTTTCAGCTTGAAAGCCAGGATGTAATCAGGTCTGCCAGTACATGAAAAGGACTCCCACCATGTTTTAATTCTGTCCTTGAAACCTTCAGTCAACAGCCACCAATTCTCGAATTTGAAAAAAGATTTCACTGGTTCCCAATTGCCACACTGAATCATCACAGGTGAATGGTCAGAGGTAACCCTGTGAAGAATTGACTGTTTAATGTTCCTAAATCCTTCATCCCATTCCTCAGAGACTAAAAACCTGTCCAGCCTAGCAGCAATGTTGGAATTTGTTCCTTCTTCCATGTGAACTTTCCTCCTAGTAGTTGCAAATCAACCAAGCCCATGTCCTCAATGAAATCTGAAAGGTCTGCCATTGATCTGGTATACCTAACACAGTTCTTCTTCTCTGAGGGATATCTAACAGTGTTAAAATCCCCACACACAACCCAAGGCCCAGTGAATAGACCCCTAGCAATCTCCCACCATACTTCTTTTCTATCAACCCTGTCATTAGGAGCATAAATACTGGTTAAATGCCAAACAAAATCTTGAGCTTTGCCACTGAACTTATATGTGATAGAATATCTACCCACACTACTGACTTCCCCTTCCCATGCCCTACTGTCCCACATAATGAGAATACCCCCTCTAGTACCACTTGCTTCCAACTGAGCATATTTCACCCATCTATTTGCCCATAATTCTCTAACTATCTCCCTGATTTCCCCTTCTACCTTGGTTTCTTGAAAGCAATAGACTTCTGCCTTCCAGCTACTCACCATATTTTTTATCAACTCCCTCTTCCTAGCTCTGTTAAGTCCCCTAACATTCCAAGATACTATTTTAATCACCATTGACTATCGATGACAATACACCCTCCCCTGCTCCTTGTGCCATTGCTTTTGAAGCTGCTTCCAAGATCTAAGTTTTTCAGTTCTTTGCTTCCTTTCTTCTTTGGTGTGACAGCTTCCATCATCAGTGATGTTGACTCCATTAAATTCTTCCTCTTTCCATCAATTTTCATGAATAATTGGAGTGCTTCCTTTTCGCACCCTTTGAATTCCACCCCAAACTCTTTGCTCAACCTAATGATATTTTGGTGCACCCAAATTGATGCCTCAAACTCTGGGTCCTCTTCATTATCTAGAGAATTTAAGGGGAGAACTTCTTCAATTGTCCACTCTCCAAAAGTTTTCTCCTCTTCTGGTTGCATCTGCTCCTTTTGCTGCATGTCAGATGTTGATTGTTCCTTGTTTTTGATTAATACCAAGGCCTTTTTCTTGTTCTCTTCGGTTTGAGCTTCCTCCTCGAATGTATCATCTGCATTGACAATCTCAGTGGCCTTCTCTGCTTCCTTCGACTTTTTTTCCAAAGGGAGGTACTCTGAATTTGCCTGGACCTCTATTAAGAGGGGGTCTTTTAATTCCTCCAACTGGGCTATGAATTTTGGCCTTTTATTACAAAGGTTTATAGAGTGGTCTACCAATCTTGGGCCCAGAGATTTATTTAGGCCCAATACATCAGACATTAAGTCTGGTCCTTTGTCACGTGAGACAGGCACACGTGCCTCATTTTTAAAAACCTCCCCATTGTTCGATGTACCCACGTGACCATAGTACAGAGGAGCCTTTACAATCTCCTTCCCCAGGTGGATACTACTATTGACCATCGGTCCATTACTCACTCTATTACCCTGCAGTCCTTGTCCTTCGTCATCTTCCTCCCTTTGACACCCCGCCGCTGTCGTTGCTGTAACAATCACCGGAATTTCACACCAGATGGGGATTTTGTACAAAAATCCGTCACTTTCCATCTGTATCTCACTCGGAACCCTACTTCCATCACCCTTCACTTTTATTCTCGCCCATCGGAGGTGGTTTTTGAGGTTTGTTTCCTCCTCTGTTTCTAGCCATCCCCCACATTGGTCTCCTATGGTTCTGAGAACTTTATCTGACCATAAATTAACAGGTAAACCCAATAGTCTAACCCATACCCAGTCTCGTTTCACCTTTTCCGGACAGCAACCAGTGGTAGGTTTCCACCAGTCGAGGCTTACTTTGGACTTCTGCCACCGCCATTCTCCCCTGAGCACATGTTCTGCCTCCTTCCTTGAGGGAAATTCGAACAGAAATTGGGAATCATTCATCTCATGAACGTTGATGCTGATGGTGGAATTCCACGTGTTGTTCGCCCATCTTCTGATATCGTTCAAGGTTGGAGCTTCCTTCAAAGAAATCATCACCTTGCCTACTATGCATCTACTCAACACATCCTTCTCTGCTAATTCTGAACCTCCCGGTACCATGATCTTGGAGCTGTTGATTTTTATTGGGGATGATTTTGTGCCTTCAGTGGACCATCTATTGGTTCTGACCGCTTCAGTGTATGAGGACTCCATCTTTGAGATTCTCACTGTCTGGGGCTGCTTCTCTGTCTCTGAAGAATTAATGAGTCTTATGATTTTTTTAGCTATGTCCCCCCACCCAGCATTTAATGAGATTTCCGGTGTAATAATGATAGATCTACTTTCCCCTTGAATAGCAATAAAACTGATGTACCTACCATATTCATTGAATTTAAGGTTACAAAAGTATTCTGTGTAATGTTCTTTCATACTCCATCTTCTCATTGCCCTGCAATGTTCCTTTGACGCCACATTAAATATCTCTGTCACCCATTTCATGACTTTACTGCTGACATTTACTGTTCTCATCAATTTTCTGCTACGTTCTACCCATTCAAACCATGTTCCAGACTTAGAACTAATTTTTGTGATATCAAAAGACTTGAAGCCAGCATTGTAATAAATTCTGTCACTGTCCATACTTAACTGATGAAGTAAACAACCAGAATAATTTGTAAGATTAATCACTACCTTGATTATGTGAAAAGGAGAAGAAGGTTTGGTAGTAATCACAGTGGGTGATTACTGATTTAGAAGAAAGAAAGGTTTGGTAGTAATCACATTGGGTGCTTACTGATTTAGAAGAAAGAAGAGTTAGATTCCAGTGAAAGATTATGCCGGAAAAGGTATTCTGCAGTCCTAGGAAGTAGGAAAGAGAAGATTCTTGGGAAGAGTGCCTGGGAGCATTTTTGAAAGTGCTGTTTACTCCAGAAGACCTCAAGATTACAAAGAAGAGGTTTTAACTAACGTAGCTGGTTCTATAATTGCAAAAAAAAAAAATGGTGATACAGTTGATCACTTGCTAATAAACTGCAATTTTGTGTGGCAGAATTTGGTGTATGTTGATTTTGCTTTAGATGCTGATGTAGTGCTGGAATTTTTGGATCCAACAACTATAAGAGGATTTCCACCCAGCATGTTATTGTACTTGCTCAGTATCCTCTTGATACTGAGATCTGTTAGTAAAACCTACTTTTACCTATCAAGCAGAATAGAGCAAATCTATCACCACACTTGGCAACCTTGAGGGAAAAGTTCCTATAGGATAACCTGTTCAATGTAACTCATTTACAGAACATAATCTGTCAATTGGTTACACCAACTGAAACAGTAATTAATTTTAGGAACCACATGGCACAATAATGACATTGAATAGAAGTATCAACAGTAACTGCTAAAATGAAGTTATGATCTTAAAAAGCATAAATCCAAATGCACTGGCATGGATGCAAAAATCAGACTAACATCTAAACAGATGACCAAAAACTATCTGATAGCAAATTCAAAATGCCATACAACCAGATGACATCATCTTACTATAGCACTCAGTTTCTAATGCAAATAAATCCCATTCAGAATTGACCAGACAAACACATTACACGATGTGCAAAGTTTACCTTTACCCATATGGTCTTTGCGTCGATATTGAGACCACAACTTTGCAACACTCTGGCTGAAATCAACATGTATTCTTCGATCATCAATTAGAGTATTATCCATCTATGAAAAACAGCAAAAGTTAGTCATCTAAATCATAGTTCTCCCACCATGTATGTCGCTACCTTCTAATTAAGTATAAAAAAACACACAACTTCAATGTTCACGTAACAAGTTAATGAAAATAAAAGAACAAAACAAGATAGATGGGAATGCACACCATTTTCAAGTACTCCTGCCTTCAAGATTGATTGTCCACTTCCATTCTTTCTTTTTCTTTTTTTTTTGATGAAAAAGTTGTCTACTTTCTTTTTTGCCACGTTTAAAAAATATTGTCTGCTTCCATTAAAGGAAGTTCTACCTCATATTTCATCACACCAAATGTTACAAGGAATCCACTTTAGCTCACATCTCTTGTATCCATCGTAAACAAAAAACTGACATGGTGTCCTCATATGTTCCTCAACTGAAATGCTTAGGATAAACACTATAAAATTGACTTAGGAAAATAAATGATCAACAGGACATTCCATTTGAGTAGAAAACGCATATTTTTCTATCATCAGGAGGAAGCAAAAAGAGAATATTCAAATTAACAGAAAGTCATTCATTCAGTTTGGACTTTGGAAGGCAGCCACCTCATATGTAACGCTACCGCGAAATATAAGGTTGTGCTTAAACCACTTGCAACTCGATTTCATTAGTACGACACTCCTCTTTCTTCCCTTTTTATCCCTTTTCATCTCCCTGGTCATATCCCAAGGGAAAAGGAAAAATAACATGTTTACAACCTGTAGCTTGTGATGCCATAGAGATCAAAAGGTTCAGGAACAAAAGAGGGCAAAAGAACCCCATACACTATATAAATCACTATATGCCACAGGGTGATATAGCCTCTGAATCAGTCAAATTGTTACCTACGCTGAGTGAGATATACATCTTAGATCTGTTCTGACTTCACAAAGAGAAACCTAAGGTTTTTTTTTTTTTTGAACAGGTAAAGATGTAATTCTATTAAAATCAGAAAGCTGGCACTAAGATGGTGCCAGGGAATTACAATGTTTGAAACCTTCCTGAGCAAAAACAAAAAAGAGAAGGTTCCACCTATTACATATTCCTGTAGTGAGGAATGTAGAGTCGAGCAAGCTACTTCTGTTATTTATATCCTGAATATTAGCCCAAAAACTCAAAAGCCATAAGAGAAATTCTAAGTTTTATGTTATTCGAGAATGGGATCTATAGAAAACAATTCCTTCATACATTAAGCAGACAAGTTGTGAATACAAATATTATGCCACACGCATATCAAGCACTGCTTCTATAAACAACAGCCTTAATGCCCACCAATTAGGATCTTTGAAAATCAATCTTTGCAATCACATTCAACAATGGTATCTCATACACATTATATCATTTGAAAAAGGCCTAGTAGTATGGGTGCTGCATAATCAGTATTGGATTTCCTTACATTTAGCATCAAGATCATACAGTACCAAAAGGAGAAGCGTCCGTTAAGTGAGATACATCCTAACACCAGCATTCAGTTTTCACATTAAATTTGAAGGCTCATAAGTACGAACATCTTAAGTCATTTGAAAAATAGATACTTAATTAAATACATTTTACATTTCAATCAAGCAGAGCTAGTTCTTTTTAGTACCTTATAATATGCTTGTTCACAGGCCTCTTTGTCCTCAAACTCTGCCAAAATAAGAAGTTATACAATCAATACAAAAGGAAACACAAAGAAAAGAAAGCATTCACTTGCACTATGATTAATTGGGGTTAAAAGAAGAAAGGAAGAAAAACAACATAGCTAAACACTATCCAGTTTAGCAGTCACGCAAACAGAGAAAGGGAAACAAAAGTGAAGATATGAAACCCTCTCCGCAAGTTCTGTCCCCTTTCTTGCCTTCTCTTCTCGAATCTCCTCAAAGCTTGTGCAAAAGAGTTATACCCCAACATTCCGCTGTTTTTCTTTCATAATCCAAAGAAGCCCTAACGTTGACATGGGTTATTCCTAGTGAGGGTGAGAAGAGAAGAGTATCACTGGTAAAGGTAACAGCCTGACAGTGTTTTGAATAGCACGAGGCGACAAAAAGCGATGAGGACCCGCTTCACTGAGGCGAGAAGCGTAGCGCTCGCCTTTTTGATGTGAAGCGCCAATTAATACAAAAAATAAAATAGTAAATTTGCATGTATAAATAACTAAAAACTCAATGACAACAGCTTATTAATAAATATATCAATTCAAAAACTCAATAGATAGAAATCAAATATTTTAATATATATAGAGAGATATCTAATATATTACTGTTTATAGAGAGAAATTAATTATAATTAAAGAGAGAAAATAACAGTTATTTGTAACTATAGAGAGAAGTTAATATGCAATTAATTGTTTACTAAACTGGAAAAAAATCAAAAGAGAGAAACAGAAGAAGAAAGAAGAGCAGAAGTGAAAACAGGGGTGAAAGAAAAGAAAGAAAGAATATTTCTGCCGGAAATCAGTTGTTGCCGAAAAGAAGAAGAACAAAGAAGACTTACTACCGGAAAAAGAAAAGAAAAGAAAGAAGAAAGAAGAGAGGCTTACGCTCGAAAACAGAGGCTTACGGCCGGAAAAAGAAAAAGAAAAGAAAGAAGAAAGAAAGAAGAAAGAAGAAGAAAGAAGTACTTGTAAGTCGAAGAAAACCCTTAACTTTTATTTAAGTCTCTTCTTTTTTCTTTTCAATTTTTTAAAAAGCGACGCCTCTGTCGCTACCTCGCCTCGTCGCCTGGTTGGAGCTACTTCGCCTCGCCGGAGCTTTTTAAAAACGCATCGCAACAGTCCAAAAAAAAGCACCTGATCCTCGCTTTGCGTCGCTACTCGCTATTAGCGACGTAGCGAGCGCTATTTACAATAACACAGGTTATAATATGATCAGTGGTGAAGCAAACAAATAAGGTGTGTATCATCGGTGGTGATACACACCTTGTGTTTAGAAACGTCTTGGCTGAGAATGTAAAGCAGGTCAGTCCTTCTTAATGGAAATAAGATCACATTGAGAGGGAAAGGACAGAGAATGGTGATGGCATTCACCACCTTAGATGATGATCAAGGTGTTGTCTGTTAACAATAGATCGTCATTTCCGACAAAATAGCAGGCACCAATAAAATCAATTGGAGATCAAGGTGTTATTTTCAGCTACGAGTAGTATACAGCTAGAGGAGGTTATCAATCAAAGATTTTAGAATCATCCTGATCAGATACTATTGAGGACTTTGCATTGGACAATGTTGATAAAGTAGTATACATATTGGTATTGTTTTCAAAAGTATATATAGGTAGGAATATCGGGCAAACATAACAGGTAATCCAAGGTTCAGATAATTTAGAGAACTTTTCCTAGAATAGTGCAATACTAAAAGATCTTCCTACCGAAAGTGGCTGGTCAACACCAGTTGCTCTCTTAAGAGGTTTTTGACACCCTTGATGAGCAGCAAAGGTACTGATATTGTAGCATGCCTAGACTTGCTGGAAAGCATGGGTAACTCACATCACTTCCTTAGAGTTTAAGATTATGGAAAAAAACACATTACTGGGTGAAGAACCAGCAATAAGGTGCACATATTTTTGTTAAGCTTTAATACCTCACAATTTTTTTATGGAATCTTAAACTTACCAATGAAAGCATAGCAGAGACTATCCCCAGTCTTGAAGTCCCTAATAATTTCAGCACTAAGGAGAACAAGCAATAAGAGATGAGAGAAATTTCAACACATATTGGCACTAAACGAAGAATAAATAGCATGCAAAATATTCAAAATATGATAACAAACTTACGATGTCACAGTTCCAAAGCGTGAGAAGATTGTATACAGGTCTTCATCCTGCATGGAAAAATATTGTCTGATAGTACCAGAAAGAAAGATGGCATACATGTTCAAAAAATTGGATGATCAAGAATTAAAGCTTAGACAATCTCTTTCTTTTTAAAAAAATTAACAACAAGAATAAAGCAGAAACTTACTTCAGTAACTGGATTTAATTTACAAACAAACAGCACATTGTCAGGAGGCTTTATCTCAGCATCAGGAATGTCTCCTACCTGTGACACGAGTTAGCATGATTACAATTTGGAAGGCCTACAATTTTTGAATGATCAAACAGTTCACAAAAGTTCTTACACTTTCAAGTACTACTGCTCGGGAATGTGCTTCTTTTGCATGCAGAACCTCCTCGAGTTCTTGTATACCCAGTTGCTCATCCATTGGCACCCAATCATCTTCTAGTCGCACATCATCTTCAACCTAAGTAGATAGAAAGATGTAAGGGCATGAATAACATAAAAGGGTAATTGCTTGACTAAGTGGACAACTAACATGTTAGGGATATTATTACATATCTTCTTTTATGAAAATTTCATTCCCAAGGAAGATGGGTATAAGGAAGAGCCTTAGGTCCCACCCTGCGATCACATCACGTGTGCAAGCCATGCAGTCTCATTGGAGATCAGGAAGGGAATCACGAAACATGCTATTGTTTTACACCAAGAAAGAAAGACTGCTCTATGCAATACATATTATGCTAAGTAAAAAAAACTTAGATTCTTGTTGGAATTACACAATCATATAAATACACATCGAACAACAGAACTCTACCATTCTTTTCAGATCAAAACCCAGATACAAATCCATTGACTAAATATGGAAGTAGCAAAATTTTATCAGATAGTGCAAAACCTAAATAATCTCTACCATAATCCTCTAGCAAAAAGACCAATCTAAAAACAAGTAATACGGCTCTCATGCTCTATTGTTTAAATTCCCCACAAGAAACAAGCTTTGGTGTAGACAAAATTCTTTGTCTGGAACTGAACAGTGGAAAAATGTGAGTTCTAGTTTATTCTATTTTTTGCAGAATTCATTGACATCCCATACTCAAGATACCCTGATTATCTTGACAAACTAACTTTAAATGGACATCGTTATATCAAGCTAAGGAACTGGTTCACAAATCAAAAGAAAAGAGAAAACGAAAACAGACAACAAAGCTTTTGCAGAGTCTCTAGGTGCATAACCTAGAGTTCAAAACTTCAAAATTTGTTCATCTACTCTTTAAGATCTGCAGCATCAAAGGAATGAACTTCAGATAATGCTGTTGCATATCTCTGCCAGCATAATCTTATTACGCAAAGAAGGATAAACTACACTTCAAATTCTATGGTTTTATACTTGATGATGCATAAAAACTCATGGAGATGAACAAGTGGACTGGTAATATACTTGATGATGCATAAAAACTCATGGGGTGAATAAGTGGACTGTTAATTTCTACATTCTTTACCTCATCTTTTGGCTTCCCTTCAGGTGAGGCATCTGGAATCAAGTCGCTTAGCTGGGCAGGATCGTCGAAAGGATCGTCCAATATGTAAGTGTGTTTGATTCTGAAGAGTGGACATTATCAATTAGAAGAGATCTACTAAATGGAGAAAAGAGGAGCATACAATACATCAACAACGAACCGGATATTTTTAAATGGCCTGCCCTTCTCATCCACATAAGCTTCATTTATCCTATTCAATGTGTCCAGCCCTTCTGCAATCTCTCCAAAAACCTAACAGAACAAATTCCATTGATCAAAATGTCAAAGACTTGGAGACATAACAACTTTAAGAGAACACCCAGGAATTATCTAATCATCGGACGCTTCTTCCTCGCATTTATTCACAAAGAAGTCAGCATAAATAACAATGATAGAACACGAATGCTATAGAATATAAATCTCAAATTAGGCAAAACTTGGCAGAAAAACCCAAGGCATTCAAGAAAAAATATATAAAGATATTTCCTTTCTTTTAGATAACCAAGAAATCCCCCTAAGCCAGTGGCGCACGATTCAAATTCGGTGGATAATGAGCCGGCCCCCAATATAAAGATATTTCCTTGACTTGTCATCAGTGATGCCACCGTACAAGATATACTATAGCACTCAGAAATTATGCATCATATTCAGACCATAAAGAACATATCAAATAAAAGGTTGTTAATACTAGCTATAAGTTCTAGAAAACTACAAACAGCATAGTACCAATATCACTATAAATGAGTGAATTTAATTTCAGAATATCTACAGAAAATCACAGCTTTTGCTCATCTGGAAACTGCTTCGCCTAAATTTGACCCAACATAGTGAACAATTCCACAAGAAGATGGCAGAGAAAAATTTAAGTGATCTTGGTAGGAGCAAGCAGGAAAAGTTTGAAATTAAGATATGATAACTTGGCCTCTACCTGAAGTACTTTAGGCTAAAAAATTAAAAATCACAAAATATAGGCCAGTAAGTATCACAAGTTATCTTGCAAAGTAGCATTTTTCATGTTATCACTACTAATGAGTTTCACAAAAATATTCTAGAATAGGATTCTCCATATAGAATCTCGAGTAACATAAAAAAACAGAACCTCTCATAAAAAGAATCTTTATTTGGCTCTAATTTTCATATCACCTGGAAAGGATATCATTACTAAACTGGATCCTTAAAATTTTTCATCGGAAGGAGTATATTGGTATTTTGTGCTATTGCGATCATAATACATCCTGCCTACTTGGATGCAGGTNAAGTCTGTACCTAATAATTTGGCCTCACCCGGCTCGAACCAATCCACTGGGGACCGACATTGCCTACCATATAGAGCCTCATACGGTGCCATCTGAATGCTGGACTGATAAATGTTATTGTAGGCAAATTCCGCAAGTGGCAAGAACTGATCCCAAGAACCTCCAAACTCCATCACACACGCACGGAGCATATACTCAAGAATTTGGATAGTGCGCTCAGACTGTCCATCCGTCTGAGGGTGAAATGCTATGCTCAACTCCACCCAAGTACCCAACTCATGTTGTACGGCTCTCTAAAAACGTGATGTAAACTGCGTACCCCGATCAGAGATGATAGATACCGGCACGCCACGAAGTTTGACAATCTCCCAGATATAAACTCGAGTCAGTTGCTCTGATGAATAGGTAGTCATCACAGGAAGGAAGTGAGCTGACTTGGTCAGCCTATCCACAATCACCCAAATTGCATCAAACTTCCGCTGAGTCCTTGGGAGTCCAACAACAAAATCCATAGTGATCCGCTCCCATTTCCACCGAAATCTCTAACATCTGAAGCAATCCACCCAGTCGCTGATTCTTACATCTCTGAAATCTCTAAATCTCCAATATATATATATACACACACACACAGACACACACACACACACACACACACACACACACACACACACCCCAAAAAAAAATTAGATGATTCAAGCCATTACTTGGAAGATAAGCCGCTGAGTAGGGGAATAGATGGATACCCAACTGGAAAGGATCCTCCGCCTCCAACCACGAAGTTGGGGCTCGAATCACCAGTGGGTGAAAGTGGGAAAGGCCACTGCCCTTAGGTGGGTGGGAAAAAAACCATTGAAAAAAGTGAATTTAGCACATTTATAACTATTGACTTACTTGTATACTGAATCACCCCCCGACCCTGTTCCAGTGGGATCTCCAGTCTGCGCAGTGAAATCCTTCTGAACCGTGTGAAACAGGCAGCCATTGTAATACTTAATCCTACATTATTAAAGGGCAAGTTTATTAGTTTAATGCTCCTTAAACGTATATGTAGCCGTTATACATACTGTTTTCATCGCGAATGCACTCAGATACTACTGTGTTATTAAACGTCGTATGAAAGTAGTTGTGGCAAAATGGTTAAAAGAAAACAGTTATCCATCCATATTATCCAATTAAAGATTGGGTTGGATAATAAACTTTTTAAAAACGGGTCAAATATGGATAAGAACCATATTATCAACTTAGAGAATGGATAACTAATGGGTTTAATTTTACATTTATAAAAACTCAAATTGGGGGTTCCTCAATTTGGGAGACTAGGAATTCTCCCAACAACAAACCCAGTATTTTCCCACAAGTGGGGTCTGGGGAGGGTAAGATGTACGCAGCCTTACCCTACCCCTGGAAGGGCAGAGAGGATGTTTCTGTTTGACCCTCGGCTAGAAGACGACTGGAAAAAAAAAGGTAATTGCAACATGTAGGAATAACAGCAAGACAAAATAAGATCGAATCCAAGAATGCAGTCAAACTCTAGGTAGTAATAGCCATCTATGAATAAAAGATATCATATTAACACTAATGCTAGCGAACTGAGTAAGACAAAAAGAAACGCTCGACTACCTACGAACCTTCTACCCTAATCTTTGACCTCCACACCCTCCTGTCTAGGACATGTCCCCAATCAGCTCCAGCTGCGGTATGTCCCGCCTAATAACCTCTCCCCAAGACTTCTTAGGCCTACCTCTACCCCTCCTACTGTCCACCAAGGCTAACCGCTCGCACCTTCTAATTGGGGCTTCTATACTTCTCCTCTTAACATGTCAGAACTATCTCAACCTCGCCTCCCGCATCTTATCCTCCACAGGGATCACTCCCACCTTTTCCCGAATAACTGCATTCCTAATCTTATTCAACCGGGTATACCCACACATCCACCTCAATATCTCCATCTCAGCTACTTTTAGCTTCTGGGTTTGAAAGTTCTTGACCGACTAACACTCTGCTCCATATAACATAGTCGGTCTAACTACAACCTTGTATAACTAACCTTTAAGTCTCAACAGCACATTCTTATCACACAAGACCCCGGAAGCGAGCCTCCACTTCATCCATCATACTCCGATACGATGCGTGACATCTTCATCAATCTCCGCGTTACCTTGTATTATAAATCCAAGATACTTGAAACTACTTCTCTTGGGGATGACTTGCGTATAAAGCCTCACCTCCATATCCCCAGGAAGTACCGTTGCTAAACTTGCACTCCATGTATTCCGTCTTGAAACCCTTAGACTAAGGGTGTGCATTCGATTTATCGATTCGGTTTTGACCCTTATCGATAATTACTTATCGATTATCGATTTGTACATATGCTTATCGTTATCGTTTCAATAAGGTTTCGATTTTTCCGATTTCGATTTATCGATTTTTGGGGCTTATCGATTCGATTATCGATTACACCAATAAGAAAATTTGCGGGATTCCACGGAAAATATATCGCTATGAACACGCCTAACTAATATGGATAAAAAGAAGCTAAAATAAGACGAACACCGTTTATAACATAAAAATTGTGTCAAAAGCACATGCAACGAAACTAAAGTAAGGGATCAAATGTATGCCACCAACACTCCAACAGTATAAAAAAAAACATCATCACAGCTAATTCTATTTTCCATTAATTTGAACTTCATTCCCTTGAGCTTTAAATATGATCATTCCTTAAATGTGGTAGAGGAAATAATAGGGTTAGGGACTTAGGGTAAAGGAAAGGGTATTATAGAATAAGGGTTAAAAAAAAATTGTATATCTTGTCGGTTTATCGATAAACCGATAACCGAAGAGGACAAAATCGAAATCGAAATCGATAACTCGATAAGAAAAATTTCGAAATCGAAATCGATAAATCGATAAACCGATAACAAATAATCGATTCGATTTATCGATAAACCGATTCGAATGCACACCCCTACCTTAGACTTTAGGGTCTGCCTCCAAACCTCCAGCCTCTCGTTAACACCACCCTGCGTCTCATCAATTAAAACTATGTTATCCGTAAATAACATACACCATGGCACCTCACCTTGAATGTGTCTCGTCAATGCGTCCATCGCCAAGGAAAATAGGAATGGACTAAGAGCTGATCCCTGGTGCAACCCCATCATAACCGGAAAGTGTCCCGAGTCTCCTCCGCTGCCCTAACCCGAGTCTTAGCTTCATCATACAGGTCCTTAATCACCTTAATGTAGACTACTGGGACCCCTTTATCCTCCAAGCATCGCCAGAGCACCTCTGTCGGGAGTTTGTCATATGCTTTCTCTAGGTCAATGAACATCATGTGCAAGTCCTTATTCATCTCCATATACCACTCCACTAATCTCCTCACAATGTGGATGGCTTCCATAGTCGAACGCCCCGGCATGAAACCGAACTGGTTCTCAGAAATGGACACACTGGTCCTCACCCTCACTTCAACCACCATCTCCCAAACTTTCATAGTATGGCTTAGCAGCTTAATCCCCCTATAATTATTGCAACTTTGGATATCGCCCTTGTTTTTATACAGAGGAATCATCGTACTCCACCTCCATTCATCGGGCATCTTCTTCGTCCTAAAAATGACGTTGAACAATCTAGTGAGCCACTCCAAACCTGCCCTACCCGCATTCTTCCAAAATTTCACAGGTATTTCATCTAGCCCGATAGCTCTACCTCTGTGCATCTTACGCACAGCCCCCTCGACCTCCTCTACTCTTACGCGCCAACAATACCCGAAATCCCGGCGCATCTCGGAGTGCTCCAAGTCGCCCAACACAATGTCCCTATCACCCTCTTTGTTCAGGAGTTTATGAAAATATGTCTGCCATCTTATCTAATATGAGCCTCTTCCATCAAAACTCTACCTTCCTCATCTGTGATAAACTTAACTTGATCCAGATCACGGGCCTTCCTCTTTCTCACCTTGGCTAGCTTGTATAGTTTCTTGTCCCCGCCTTTGGCCCCAAGCTCTTCATACAAACGCCCAAACGCCGCAATCTTAGCCGCAGTAACCGCTAACTTTGCCTCCTTCTTAGCCCTCCTATACACCTCCCTGTTCATCCTCTTCGCCTCCTCGTCCATGCTCTCTGTAAGCATCAAGTACGCCGCTTGTTTGGCTTCCACTTTCTCTTGTACCTCCTCACTCCACCACCAGTCACCTTTGTGGCCGCCAGAGAAACCCTTCGAGACCTCAAACACTTCTCTCGCAGCTACTCTAATACACTCTGCTGTCGTGGTCCACATACAGCTCACGTCCCCACTGCTCCTCCAGGCTCCCATAGCCAACAATCCCCCCCCCCCCCCCCCCCCCC